AATTAAACTTGATTACCAATCTGACAAAATTATATATATATATATATATATACATTCCTATATGTAATTAGTTTGGTGAATGGATTTCAATCTTAAAACATTCTCTTTATCAAAATCGACACACACAAAAATAATAATTGATGAAATTAATATTTTATCAAACTGATAAATTAAGCAAAAATAAATCGACAAAAAAAGACTAAATTTAATCACAAAGACACGCTGTGAACTTAACTTTAAAACAAAATAGATAATATTCCTTTTAAAAAATCAATTAGTAAATAAAGAAGTGTTCAAAATCAATACCAAAATGCTCGAACTATCAACTAACAGAGTAATTAATATGCCAATGTGAGAATAGTTGAGTGGTAATTGGCATATATCTCCAATCAATAGATTGTGAGTTCGATCTCTCACCCACATATTGTAAAAAAAAAAAAACAGAGTACTTAATACAAAATACTTGGAGAAAGAAATTCAACTAATTAAGAATATGAATTGGTTCAAAGTTTAATATGATAAAATTAAAAATTTAAAGTTAGATTTAAAATAAATTTCTTTTCCTTCTATTATTTGGAATTTGGGTATGAAGATATTTTGTAAAAAAGGCAAAGATAAAAACAAATAAATTATCACCATTTCCAAACTGAACAAAATCCTTGGAAAACGACTTCGGATTGAGGGTTAGGTGAGTTGCGAGTGAACCCATCCAAGAATTCTTTTCAAATGCATATACATTATTTGTTATTTATTATAATGCATTTCATTCAAATGCATAATGTATTTCAGCCACTACGCGTTATCTTTTTTTTTTTTTTTGTCTCTCTTTTAATTGTGTAATCAAAATCAATCCAACTATAATTTCTTTTTAAATAAAATAAGCTTCGTGTTCTGTTGTCATTAATATAAATCTAAAAAAATAAATAAATAAATTTAAACTTAAGAACATAGATATGAGTGGTGATCCAATAAGTATCTCTATAGTATATAAGTAAGGGCAATTATGTTTGTTGATATAAGTTTTTTTTTTTTAAACTAAAAGTAAAGCCGTGAGAATTATACTTAAAAGTCATTAACAATATCAACAGATGCTCATTCAAGTATCAGGTTTATATAAATCCCAAGTTTTGAATTGAGGCAAAAGAGTAAGGAAGCAAGTAGCCTTAGGTTGGGAGATTAATGAGGGACGTAATTGAGAAATAAATCACGAAATTGGGGTAAAGAAAATTTCAACCTTTGCAAGAAAAAAGGATTGCAACAAGTGGGAAGAAAGAGAAAATAGGAGGAGAGTGAGAGAAACAAGAAACTTCGTTGTAAAGGAATCTAACTCCGTATTTGATGAGGCTACATAACTTATAAGAAGAGATTATCAAAAAAAAAATAAATAAATAAATTATAAGAAGAGAACTTCATTTCCAATTCCCCCGACAATGATTTGATGGGTTCGAAAACCGCCCGCACACACATATATTATTATTAATTAAGTGTGAATTAATTAATTAAATCTTTTTTTTTTTTGATATAAGTGTCTTAGTAATTTTCAGTTCAAGATTAATTAATTAATTAGTTAATTAATTAATTAATTTTGTTTGTAATTATTTGAATATTGTAAAGAAAAGGAGAGTCAACGTAGGAGCATGTAAAGAAAACGTTTTTTGTCGGACTCAGAAATTAAAAAAAATCGCTTCAATTTAATACAATATTGTAATTTTCTCAAAAAAATAAAAGAAAAGAAAGCATTTGTAATTTTGCAAAAGGGAGGGACTAAAACCTAATTTTGTAATTTGCAATAACCTAATTGAAACCATATAGATGGGAACCGCAGAGACACGGCGTCCAGTCCACGTGGAAGCTTCTAGGAATCTACTTCCATGTTCCTACAAATTTCTTTCTACAACAAAATAGCTTGCCTTTCTAACAAATTAATTAAAATGTTCTGCATTTCAATTTTTTTTATTTTATCTATCTTAAGAGTAATAAAATAAAAAAAAAGGAAAGTAGGTGCTTGGATTCAATAAAAAATAATAATAATACTACTATCAACTTAACCACGCAAGCTTATTTTTCTTTAGAAAATAGAGTAGATAAAAAAAAAGAGAGAGAGAGAGAGAGAGATGAAAACAATATGCTTAAAACTCAATTAAAAAAATATTCAACAAATTAGTAACTATCTCAACCGACTAAGAAATGTTAGTTAACTATACAAATATTTGAGGGCAAAAAGAAGTTGAATATGATAGAATTAAAAATTATTGGAAGTTAAATTTATTTTCATTCTATTTGTTTCTTGAATGACACCCGAATTAGTTTCAATGTTAAGAAAATTATTTTTGCTTCAAAATTTGGCTGATATTTTCAAGATATATTCTCTGGAAGGGCAAATTAAGATAAAAACAAATAAATTATTCCATTTTGAAACTGAACAAAATCTTAAACCCTGCAACTTGATGGACCGTAGAAGAAGAGTTAGTGGGAAATTGACTCGGATGAAGATTAGGTGAGTCATGATTGGACCAACTCGGATGAAGAACATTTAGAATTTGTTGAGAAAAATGTTATTTTCCAACAGGGAAAAAAATACATTTTCAAAATTTGACACATCAAAAAAAAAAAAATCTCGACAAAATTGGNCCTCAAGAGCTCCATCATTATTGATTTTGTTTCTAATTTAAAAAAATAAATAACAAACTTCATTGCCGAACAATACTCTTATTTTTATTTATGAATTTAATTTAATGAATTAATACTTTTTAATTTTATCAAGATAAAACTTAAGTTCTAATGGTTAATCATTATATTAAAAAACTATCGTTAATTAAAACTATCCCACGATGTTGGGAAATAAAACATCTAGTCTTCGAGCTATCAAAATCATAACAAAAGAAATACGATATGAATATAAAAAGCAACACCAAAAAAAAAATATTTTGGTTGGCCTCAAACTCGGAGCTACGTCGAGTCTTTTACAATTGGCATGTTCTACTATGATAAAAAGATTAAATTGGTCTTACTTTCGCCGTACAATGCTTTCTAGACACCACAATAACGACTACCTAGTTTTATGAAAAATCTCGTTAGAATCGCGAAAACGGATTGCCTAAGACACTCTACACTGACCAAGTTTCTCCCTTTCCTCTCCTCTGTCGAAGGACGACCACCACTCGAAAATATATGCTTCTTGCCAAAAAACTAAAAAGGAAACCATCCTTTAGGCTATAATGCCGCACTCCGGCCAAACACATGCTGCAGGTTCCTCTCCATTTAGTTTTGGCTCCACTTCGCCATACATGAAATTAAATTACCAAATAATACAAAAAAAAAACTGAGTGATAAAAAATACTTAAATCTACTATTTTTATCACGTAAATTACACAAGTAAGAAGTATCCAATACTAAAATACTTAAACTTGGGTAAAAAGAATAATCAGCACAACCAAAATTACCAGTAACATTGAAAACAATTTGGTCTTTTTCCTTTTTAAATTTAAAATGTTTAGGGTGAGAATTGAGCTGCAGACGTGGAGTGCGTGGGACAACACATGGTAGTGGAGACCAACTCTATTATAGATGTACGACCGATGAGAAGAGCAACGTACAAGGACTGACAGTGGCATACAGACAACCCTGCAGCATCTGTAGTAAGGCTAGGATAACAGGCGACGAGGATGACACCACGCACCAAGAATGTCCTCTCTAATTGTTAAGGATCTCACATTGATAAAATAAGAGACCGAACAAACATTTATAATCTAAGTGAGATATTCCTCTCGTCGCCAATTAATTTTGAGATATATCCCATGAATAATATTAATATGGTATTGAGAATTTGAGAATTTGAGAATTTGAGAATTTCAAATTTAATTGATATACGATAAATTTGAGAATTTCAAATACTTTTGTTTCGTTAGGAAAAAAAAGGCAAAAGTAAGAAAAGAAGGGTGTATATAAGAGCTAGACCGACTCGGCTTTTCTGACTTAAATTGATTGGTTGGATTTTCAATTGGTTATTTTCGTGTCATTGTTGGACAATATGTTTATTCCATCTCTCATGTTTTAATGATTCCACTTCTAAACATTTAAACTCTATGAGACGAGGGATGAATTTAGTTATTTAATTAAATTTATTCGAAACAGTAACTATTTGTTATAGACTCACTTCATCATCTCTTTTTCTTGAATGTTTAGTTTAGGGAACTTTGATTATGTATTTTTATCAATTAAAAAATAATTACTATTTACAATAAGTGAAGGTCAATTTTAATTTTTACAGACCAAATCACAAACTTGGGTTATGAAATCAAAAGTCTCGGTGTTTATAAGTCTAGCATTTGGTTGTCAAAGGTTAAGTGCTTCTTTACTTGTCTAATGTTAACGTCGAGTTAATTTTCTCGATGACATGTTTTAAAATATTTTGTTAATTAATTTTCAACGAATAATTAGTTCGTGAATGAATAGATTATGATCTCGTTTAAACTAAATGGATTGTAGATTAAATTCTGCATCCTATGGATTATATTGGAGGTAGAAATAAAATGGGTGTGCACATGCAACAGTGTTGAGAGCGTCTATTTTAGAGAAGTGGCCTCTTTAATTATATCTGATTGACGGTTAAAAGGGATTGTTGTTCCTTTTGATGAAGTATATCTTAAAAAAATAAAGAAGTTCTTGAAAGATTCACAGATAAATTATAAATTCAACTTGAAAAGAGAAATTAATTTTACTATTTTGGATCAAATTGAATGAAAATTGGAAACATCAGCAAACGCTGACAGGCCTACTCAAAAAGAAAGAAAAATAGGTGTGGCCGACGGATCAGCGAGCCGGTGGTGGGCAAAAGGCAATTAGTGAGAAATTTAATTATTAAAGAAAATACATTGCAATTTATTACGTCAGCAAACGCTAACGCTTATTAACAACGCAAACGCTTGTCGACCCACACCCTTGTATATATATGAACTGAACCTCAAACTCACAAAACAAAAGAAATTAAAAAGGGGCAGAGAAATGCAAATCAGAGTCTGGCCGGAGAACGATCGGGTTCTGCTAAAACCAGAGCCAATCGCCGACGGGACCGAGCTTGCTCCAAACAATCCGGTGATGATCTCAGAGATGGCGGTGACGGCGAACGGCGCGATTGGGTCCAGAGCCGGCGGGAAAGTGAAATCTGTGATTCCGAAGAGGAGGATTTTAGTGAAGACGATGATCTACAACTTCATAAAGGACTTCATTATCTCCCTCTTCCGTCCGCCGCCTTCCGCCGTACCTGAACCTCCACCACCGCCGCCACCCATCCCCAACACGATTCCCAGCAAAATTCATGGATTCATGTAATAATCTTCACCTCAAATGTTTGCATTGAGCTGTTATGATGTTTTTTTTTTCTTTTTTGGTGGGTCTTCCTCTGCTCCATCACAGAGGAAAACAGAGCATTTTGTTTTTGCCTTGTTCTAGACAAATTACATTACAGACATGTGATGTAATGCAACGCAATATAGTGTTTTGTTCTTAATACGAAATCCTTCCGGTTGATATTGGCCGTCGTTCGAGTGAATTCCGCCGGGAAAAACAGTCCTCCGACACCGGATCGCCGGTTTTTCTTTTATTTTTATTATTATTTTTTATTGAATAAAATTGCTTATAAAAATCAAAAGATCACTCCAAATACTTCATCTTTAATTGAGGGGTGACTTGAAAATCTTTCTTTCTTTCTTTCTTTCTCTCTCTTTTCTCCATTTTAAATTCCAGCAGAGCTGTTTAACAGAGAACAGATCCAACGGCGGAGATTGGAATTGGAAACGCCTGTCCCCACAGAGAGGGGAAAAGGGATAATATACGTATGTTTAAAAGAAGTTACACTGTTGTAACCTATTGTTCGGCCAAACAAAAAGTTTCAGACTCAATTTTTTATAGGCGACAGAATCAACATCGAAAGTAAAAATAATAAATTAATAACTAATTAATTTATAATATCCAAGTTTATTAATATGATAATGTCAAAGTCAATGGTATAGGACCTAGAAGCCAAACAAATATAAATGTGTATTGTAAACTATTTAAAATTGAGAAGAGAATTTGAGGATTTAAATCTAAAATAGAAATAGCCTACAATACTCAATATCAAAAAATATATAAGAATTAATTTTTAACATAAAATCAATGAACCACTATGATAGTTCTAAAATAAAAATATAGGTAGGTCTTCAATTCCAACAAATATAAAATAAAATAAAATGAATAAGAATTATTATCTCAATTATTTGGAAAATATGGAGATCATAATTACATCTATATTAAAAGTAATATTAAGATATCTTTCATCATTATGATCAAATGTTTGTAATTACGTTGGAACTATGTCACACGTGCACTAATCTTATTGGATATATTGATGCTTTGATGTAATACAAAAAGTGCTAAAATTAATTAAGGATGATTTTCAACTAGTATTTTATTGTTTTCATCCGTTTAATTTGACTTTGCGCTCAAACATCAATCTTTTTAAATAGTTTTATTTACTCAATAGTTTATAATAATTATTTTTTCAATGTAAGTTGAGAATGCTATTATAATTGAGAATTGTCTTTGCAAATAATATTTGAAAATACTAATGCTACAACCGGTTCATAAATTGTAAAACTTTCGTAAAAGTTTGACTAAATAATAAAGTACCTTGTATCTTTCCCTCCATTTATGATTGTCTCGTAATCCCTTCTATAACTTAACCTGTAGCAGTACCTTGATCAACTCCATATCAAATAGAGCAAATCTCACGGCAACCCAACAGCAATATAAGAAGTGGCCTAAATCAACGTGAGTTTTACTAGACAACAATAATCAAGTATAAGTATCATGTATTTGTGATATGTTGGATAATATATACATTTTTTATTCCTTGTCTATGTCTTTCTATCTTTTTGTTTCGTAATTCTTAGAAAAAAATAAGCATTAATGTGCATGGTAACAATTATTTGTATTTCTTTTTATTGAAGAAGATAACATTTATTTATCTCTTCTGATCTCATATAAAATGAATTACAATATACAATTTTATTAAAAGAATAATAGGTTAAAAATTTTTACGTCGTAGTTCTTTAATTCATCTGCCAATAAAAACTTGATAAAGAAATTCATGGTACGTAAGAATTAAAATTAAAATTGTGACCTTTAAAAAGAAAATAAAACATTTTCAATAGATTATATATATATATATTTAGGCACGTGTACTAGAGATAAAATTGTATATTTAATCTTGTGGATAAGAGGAGAGATGGGGTGGGCCCCACGATTAGATGGAGATCAAGGGAATCTTTTTGGCGCCAACTTGAGCTGCAAGATACCTCTTTGAATTGAGGCCCACCACATTGCTCATTTATTTTCTATATCCTTTAACATCTCACTTAAACATAATTTAATCGTTAAACACGTTATAAAATTTTGAAAAATATTCAGTTTAGTCTTGAATTTGATAAAGTCTATAATTATTTTTTAATTTTTTTACCTTACTTTTTTCATCAAACTTAGTGGGTGAATTAGTAGAAGAGTAAAAATTACCATACTTATTAAGTTTAGAAAAAATAGGATCTAGAATTAAAACAATGGGAGGTGGCAAGAAAATTTGTAAGCAAATAGATATTAATTATTTTATAGAAAATTATATAATGACCTATCTAAACAATATATATTTTTCTCTACAATAAATGAGATTTTTCTATTATTTATTTCTTAACATAACATGATTAAATAATAATTAAAAAAATAAAGTATTTTTTAATAGGCAATGAACTAACAATTATTCAACCGTGGTCAATAAAATATATAATAAGCTTTTTTTTAGTACAATAAGTGAAAAGAGTTAGGGTTGGATTAGGTTTTGTTGATTGGAGATATATGTTAATTATTTTGAGGTAAGCGCTCCCTTTCACACATATTTAGTTAGTTAGTTATGTTTAATTAATCCAAAAGGTGAATTAATTTTAATTTGGGATAATTATGATAGGTTAGTTGAAATCATAAGGGCAAGAAAATCCGGCAAAAGATTGCAAGTGGCAAGTGGGAAGAAAGATACAAAATAGAGAATGGTAACACCGACCATTGGTAGAGTTTTCAGTTATCACGCATCGCATTTATATAAAGTTATTAAGGAGAGATTAATTTCAAACTCTGCCTCATATGTGGGTCCATGTTAATGGAATTAAATTTACAAGGGGAAGTTAGTGTGTATTAACAAATTAATTGAATAGATTTGTTTGTAATTAATTTATTTATTTGTTAATACATATGAGGGAATCTTAGGTGGACGGAACTGGAAGCGCCTGTCCTCACAAAGGTGGAAAAAATGAGTAATAGTAATTTTTAATTTTTTAGTATCCAAGTTTATTAATATGAAAGATCAAAGTCAAGATTCTAAGACCTGAAGCCAAATAAATATAAACTTCAAAAGTTATTATTATTGTTATTTACAATAAATTATGCCACTTGTTATGGGAAGAAAAATATAGAACAGACGAACTGACACAAGGGAAGATCGTCGGCTTGAACCAACTCGGATCGACCYATGGTCGACACTGAACACTGTTTGACGCTGACCAGGCCTCAACGTCGAGAACCCTAATTCGATTCCCCTCRATCCTTGTGCAGCCCCAATCTCGCCTGATCTCGACCCTTGATCCGACATTAGGTCCACGAAACACATGGACCCAGAAATCTACTAAAGATACTCGGGTTCGACTTCTGTAAAYACTAGCGAGATTAGGATTCAATTTGGAAGTAAGCCAAATCGATGTATTCCAAAACCCCCTACTCTCCTCTTACTACTCATCACTCGACTTCTCAGCATTGGAGTCTGTGTGGTCAAAGTCACATCGATCCTAGCACTATTATGTTTAGCAGATCACGTCGATCCTTTTTATTCTAAAAGATTGGTACGAATTTGTCTAAATTTTGAAAGGTCAAATTTCTACGTCAACACCGGTGAGTAGATTCTAATTACGAGTAAATGTTAGCAAAACTCAAAAAGTCTTACGGACGTAATAAGATTTTTACAATCAATGAAAAGCCACCAATTACTTCAACACCTGCAATTCCAAATCTGGCCAAACTAGTTGCAACGAAATTTTTTGTATTAATTATTGAAAATAATCTAGTCACTTTTATTTTAAAATTTCGGCACAAAATTCTAAAATGATTATTTATACAATTTTTAGCACGTACATTTTTTTATATACAAAAATACAAAATACATCCATCAGTTCTTATTATATTTAAAATTATCAATTAAGTTCATTCACCAAAAAAAAGTAACAAAAAGTTAATGTACCACTAAATTATTATTTTGTTGACATATTTGTGCATATGGGCTGACATATCATTTAAAAGAAGTAGACTTTATCGATGAACGAGTTATATTTTGATAATAGACRATTGAATTTCATGTGACACATTTTACATGTCATATTAATAAAACAATAATTTAATAATAAATTAACTATATATTATGAAACTTTAATAAATTTTTTTCAGAAAATGAGTTAATAAGAATTTTTTTATGCCGTAAAAATAAAATTGTAAATTGTAAATCGTTGAAGATTGCCAATAGAGAAAAACTTAAAATATACGATGCAGACTTGCAATATATATTTAACTCAATAGTATAGGACCTCATAAAATTTCTGTTCGGTGTGGAAGAGGAATTTTCCTCCTGAATTTAGCTGAAAATAAGTGTTATTCGAGGGGCCCATTTTGATTCTCATTATTGCGAAGTTTCTTCTATGGTATTTTTTGAACTTTAAAGAACTCATTTGACTCGAGCATTTCTCTCATTATTGCGAAGTTTTCTTCTAAAAAAAAAGAATTGTATTTTTCAAACTTTAAAGAATTCATTTGACTCAAGCATTTCTCTAGTTAAATATTGAGACTTTTTATTTGTTTTTTCAAATATATCATAAGTGTGATACTGTTTAAGTGTGTGTTATAGATAATGCAATTTTTTGAAAATTTAAAATTGTCTACCCTATTTGAAAACTAATATTTACTAATACTTCGACTATATTTTCTAAAAAATACCTTTGAATAGTTAAGTTATGCTTTAATTACTATTTTATCTTTATTTTCTCAATTAAAAGCCTGCACAATAAAAGTGCATAACCAAGCGGGCGGAGCGAAAAAGAAAATAAGA